AAAAAGAGTGCAGTGGGATGTGGGATTTTCACCTTTACACAGTTTTGTGCTTTCATATTTTAATTTTTTTATTCTTTTATTCTATTTTGGGATGTGGGATTTTCACCTTTACACAGTTTTGTGCTTTCATATTTTAATTTTTTTATTCTATTATTTTTTTTTTTGGCAACTGGCCAGAACAGTGATCCAAACCCTTGACCTCAGTGTGATAAGACCACACTCTAACCAACTTTTGTCTTTTTAAACAATGATTATGTATTAAATTTACAATTGAAAAATAAGAACCCTTGGTGCGATTATAGGTAGCTTTTAGTTTATTTACGCTTTGTTCCTTCCACATTTTCTACTACAAACATCTACTACTTTCATAATCAGAAAATAAAAAACCCTTTCTGCTATAAATGTTATAGTTTTTTTGTTTGTTTTTGGCAGTTGGCCGGTACAGGATCTGAATCCATGACCTTGGTGTTGTAAGGCTGTGCTCTAACCAACTGAGCCAACCGATCAGCCCCTAAATGTTGATAAAAAGAAAAAAATATATATATTCTCAAGATGGCACAGTTTGTCATGTTGGGAGAGCAGGATATCTGGGGAAAGTACCAAAGATGTTCTAAACTCTGAGTCCCAAGAAATTAAGCACCCAGGCAAGTGGGGTGTAAACTAATTCAGTTCCAATTTGGCAAAACATCTTAACTGTAAGAGTGTTCATATCCTTTAACTTTGTAATCTCATCGTGGGGCTTTAGCTCAGGAAAATGCTTTTTTATTTATTTAGCAGCTGGCCGGTTCAGGGATCCAAATCTGTGACCTTGGTGTTACCAGCACCACGCTCTCCCAAGTGAGCTAATCATCAAGCTTCAAGGAAGTATTTAAAAACAAACAACAGCAATCCAGAAAGCTCTCTACATATAAAGATGCTTATTGTGGTTTTATATTTAATGGAGTAACCTGGGATCCACCTGAAAGTGGTGGACTATTATGAAGCCATTTCTAACAATAAACGTGACGGCTTTGTAGAAATGTGGGATTGTGTTTACAAAGTAATACTGGGTGAAGAAAAATAGAAAGCAATATTGCATTTACGTGGAGATTATGGTTTTATACATCTGTTATAATTAGAATTGATTATAAAGAAAGAGAGCGAGGATGAGAGAGAAAGAGGGAGACAGTGAGAGATGGGGGAAGAGAGTAGAAAAAAAGTGACTGTGTTAGGTTGATGGGATTATGGGATTTTTTGAAATGTCCTTAAAAGATATTGAAAGTTGCTTTGGTAGTAAATATGAACTACANTGGGATGTGGGATTTTCACCTTTACACAGTTTTGTGCTTTCATATTTTAATTTTTTTATTCTTTTATTCTATTTTTTTTTTTTTTGGCAACTGGCCAGAACAGTGATCCAAACCCTTGACCTCAGTGTGATAAGACCACACTCTAACCAACTTTTGTCTTTTTAAACAATGATTATGTATTAAATTTACAATTGAAAAATAAGACCCCTTGGTGCGATTATAGGTAGCTTTTAGTTTATTTACGCTTTGTTCCTTCCACATTTTCTACTACAAACATCTACTACTTTCATAATCAGAAAATAAAAAACCCTTTCTGCTATAAATGTTATAGTTTTTTTGTTTGTTTTTGGCAGTTGGCCGGTACAGGATCTGAATCCATGACCTTGGTGTTGTAAGGCTGTGCTCTAACCAACTGAGCCAACCGATCAGCCCCTAAATGTTGATAAAAAGAAAAAAATATATATATTCTCAAGATGGCACAGTTTGTCATGTTGGGAGAGCAGGATATCTGGGGAAAGTACCAAAGATGTTCTAAACTCTGAGTCCCAAGAAATTAAGCACCCAGGCAAGTGGGGTGTAAACTAATTCAGTTCCAATTTGGCAAAACATCTTAACTGTAAGAGTGTTCATATCCTTTAACTTTGTAATCTCATCGTGGGGCTTTAGCTCAGGAAAATGCTTTTTTATTTATTTAGCAGCTGGCCGGTTCAGGGATCCAAATCTGTGACCTTGGTGTTACCAGCACCACGCTCTCCCAAGTGAGCTAATCATCAAGCTTCAAGGAAGTATTTAAAAACAAACAACAGCAATCCAGAAAGCTCTCTACATATAAAGATGCTTATTGTGGTTTTATATTTAATGGAGTAACCTGGGATCCACCTGAAAGTGGTGGACTATTATGAAGCCATTTCTAACAATAAACGTGACCGCTTTGTAGAAATGTGGGATTGTGTTTACAAAGTAATACTGGGTGAAGAAAAATAGAAAGCAATATTGCATTTACGTGGAGATTATGGTTTTATACATCTGTTATAATTAGAATTGATTATAAAGAAAGAGAGCGAGGATGAGAGAGAAAGAGGGAGACAGTGAGAGATGGGGGAAGAGAGTAGAAAAAAAGTGACTGTGTTAGGTTGATGGGATTATGGGATTTTTTGAAATGTCCTTAAAAGATATTGAAAGTTGCTTTGGTAGTAAATATGAACTACAAACAGAGGCTCTGTGACTTTGGGCAAGTTACTTAACTTCTCTGAACCTCTGCTCCTCGGCAAAATAATGGTACCCACTTCATAGAGTTGTTTTGAAGATTAAATGAGATATCCATGTAAAATACTCAACAGAGTGCCCAATGCATAATAAACACCCAATAAATGTTAGCTATTTTAAATGTCATGGTTATTTTATCATTATCATCAAAGAAGGGAAATTTGCACATGCTCTAGGTGGGAGTATAAACCACTATAGCCTTTCCAAAAGGCAGTAGAGTAATAGATACAAATTTTTTAAGCACAAAAAACCTTTGTTTCAGGAATTTCGTGTCTCAAAATTCATCCTTAGCAAGTAATCTTAGTAAATAATCTGACAAATACACCAAGAGGTATAAACAAGAATATTTATATCAGAATTATTTATAACAGGGCCGGCTGGTTAGCTCAATTGGTTAGAGTACAACCTTGCAACACCAAGGTCACGGGTTTGGATGCCCAGCCAGATGCCAAAACAGAATTATTTATTATAGAAAAAGACTGGAAACAACCTAAGGATCCAGCAATGTTTAAGTAAATTATGAAACACAGATACAGTAGAATACTCTGGGGCCATTAAAAAGGATACAATATATCTTTATTTAATAATATAGACATGTACCTATATCATTACGTAGAAAGGAGGTAACAGAACAATATAATCTCACTTATATAAGAAAGTACATGCATGATTTAAAAGTCTAGAAGGAGAGATAACTAAGTGTTATCAAGGGCCATCCCCGCCAGGACTGTCACTTGCTCTTTTAATATATATAAATTTATCATCAGAAAAATCCATGATGGAGTGTGTGTGTGTGTGTGTGTGTGTGTGTGTGTGTGTGTGTGTTTAGACTAAAACAAGCCTCCTGGCTGGATAAAGAATTTCAAGATTGGAGACTGAAGACTGAGAAAATGTGGCAAAGTTGGCTTTTCACCAGTTTAGGAACCACTTAGCCCCAGGTCTGGAAGTCAGCAAGTGTGGTGAATTCTGCTTTGGAGAGAAATGATGGAGACTCGTGAAGGGCAGACCCTGGAAAAGGACATAGACTTGTAGAGCTTTCCTTAATTAATAATAAAAATAATAACCATGGTAGAGTGCTGAATACTCTGCATTGTCAGTTTTCTTTGATCCAGAGCCACAAGCTAGGAGCTATCACTGAGGAGATGGAGTGGTACTGGGAGAAAGAGCAGGAACTATAAGTTAAGGGTCTGAACCCCTAACCCCTTCCAGTTGTGAGGCTTGAACAAAGTAAAATCCATCAAGCTCCTAGCCCAGTGCCTGGCACAGAGCAGTCATCAAGGCACCCTGGCACCTCCTCTTCCAAGTGCACTCCAGGGGCCCGTGGGCTGCTGCTTTACTGTGGATGCATTAGCTGCACCGTTGTTGTGTCTATTCTCCTTCAAGTGCTCTTTGCTGCAGCCAAACTCACCATTTCCTTTCATCGTGGCCTTTCCACATTCATCACACTGTTCCCTCCACCTAGAACATCACTTCCCTTTGTTCTCAGCCTCCTCAGCCTTCCTGCTTCTCCCCATGTCCAACTCCTATTGGTTCTTGTATCAAATGCCACCTTCTGCCCAAAGATGCACCAATCCCTGGTGGACACTACTGCTCCTTCCTCGTGCTGCAGGACATACATCTGGTTTTATTTTGGGACACATCACGTTCTGCTTACACAAGGAGTCTCCATAGCTATGTGCCTTAGCTCTGGTCTAGACTGGGTGCTCTTTTGGGAAAAGTATATCTCATTCACCTGTGTTTCCTCTGTGCTGGCGCTGCATGCAGTAGGTGCTCAGTGAACCTTGGTGGATGAATGAGGGGGGGATGAATGAATGAGAGATGATGCTGTGGAATGATTGAATTCTGTCTCCCAAAGTTCATATATTAGAAGCTTAATTCCCACTATAACTCTTGAGGGTGGGAAATCCTATTGTGATAATTGAAAGGTTGTGCTTTGAAGAGGTGATTAGATTGAAGGGCCACGCCATAGGGAATGGTCATCATGGGCATGGTTCTGAAGGCTCTAAAAGAAGAGCACATGAAAGGTTAAACTCTCTCTCTCTGCTCCCCATTTTCTGCCATATGAGACCCCTGTATTGCTGTAAAGCTACCACCAAAAAAGACCCTCACCAGATATGCTCCCTGGACTTTGAATTTCCCAGCCTCTGAAACCATAAGCAATAAATTTCATTGTCTTATAAATTACCCAGTTCCAGGTATTTTGTTATAAGCAACAGAAACGGACTAATAGAGATTACAAGAGGGCAGGGCATGGATGGAGGGAGGGATGGGCACAGAGGTGAATGACTCCTCAGACCCTTTGGCAGTCCCAGCCTTGGCCTTGCTGGAAATGGTAGTGGGATTACAGCCAGCACTTTCCCAGGGTGAATGACCTCAGGGCTCTGCCTCCCCAGGTCCTACCCCCGTCATAAAACAGCAAGCACTTCCTCTTCAGAGCCGGGAGGGAGAAGTGGGGTGACCTAGGGGCTGAGCCCCAATAGCTGGTAGAGTTTATAATCTGGGACACCAGACCCCTCAGCACCAGCTGTTCTGTTCTCCTCATCCCCCTGCTCTCTGGCCTCCAGCTCCCCCAGCAGCATGGCCTTCACCGGCAAGTTTGAGGTTGAGAGTGAAAAGAACTATGATGAATTCGTGAAGCGCCTTGGTGAGTGAGCTCCTGAGTATGCCTTCCCTGGGGCTGGTTTGTCATAGCCAGCTCTGAGCCAGGAACCCGAACCCCTGGGTTAGAGTGGGACAGCACTCATTCATTCATTCACCCATTCATTCATTCACACATTTGTTGAGCAGCTACTCTGTCCTAGGCTCTGATGATAAGAACCATAAAACATTCTTTTACTTTAAAACACTTTTAGTATATTAGTATCTACATTTTACTGATGGAAATCTTGAGGCCCAGAGAAGCTGAGTAACTAGTCCAAGGTCACATAGCTAGTAGTTGGTGAAATAGAGACTTCATGTTTATTCATTCAAACATTTATTGAACACTCACCATATGCAAGGGCTATCCCAATGTTATTGATGGGGCACCTCAGTGCAACTTGCTCAAGTCAGTGGCAGAGGTCATCAGCACCTAGAACCCAATGATGAGTGGTATCACTACACTTTGCCTAAGGAGAGGTGACCAAGAAGTTAGCAAAGAGAGCAGGTTTGACAAGCCACTCTTTCACTCAGTCTTTCAACAAACACAGGCCTCTTACTGTGCTAGGCACTGTGGGGAGAGAGACCGACAATTTCACCCGTTCTCTCACTGCCTGACGTAACACTGGTCTGTTGTTAAGAACCAATGAGACCGTGGATTTGACAAGCCTGTGGAAATCTCAGTGCACTCTCTAAGGCTGAGGCAGTGCAATTGTCAAAATTCAGAGGACAGCCCCAGGGGACCTGTGCCCTGCCTCTTGGTGGCCACATCTTGTCTGTGCACTGGGCCAGAGCAGCCCTGAGAGCAGGGCCCTTGTGTCCTGGGGCGTTAGGGAGGCAAGGGCCTGTCTGAGTCAATTATCAGCAGTGACCCTAAGGAACAGTGACTTGGCTTCAACAAGTAGTGACCTACAACAGTCTAGTGCTGTGGAACTGGAAGAGAGGCCACCTCAGCTCTAGACCGCATTCTGCCATTAACCTCTGCTGAGATGCTGGGAAGACCCTTTCCCGCTCTGGGTCTTCGTTTATTTATCTGTAAAATAGAAGCATTAGAAGACACAATATTGAAAGTCCCATTCATTCTGTAACTTTTTAAGTTTAGCAAGTTTCTATTATATTTATATTACTACCAGAAGATCAGCTATGATGGACGAGCATCAACTACATTCTGGGAGCTTTACACAACACAATCGTGCTGAAGTTAATCCTTGCAGCAGTCCTGTGAAATGATCCTTTTTTTTAAAAAAAAAAAAATGACCCGTAAGGGGATCTTAACCCTTGACTTGGTGTTGTCAGCACCACGCTCTCTCAAGTGAGCCACGGGCTGGCCCTGAGATGATCCTTTTTATCCCCATTTTGTGGATAAAAACACTATAGATCAGATGGATAGTGACTTGCCCAAGCCACATGGCTCACCTGAAGGCTTGTACTATCTGTCTCAGGCACTGTGCTCTTACCCTGCAGGCTGGCCTGCCATGGGGGAGGAAAGTTTTTCTTCCAAATTACAGGGTCATAAGCAGCTCTTACATGGCCGTTCTTCTTGTCACCCGGCCCAGGGCTCTCCAGCGACATGATTGAAAAGGCCCGTAACTTCAAGACCATCACGGAGGTACAGCAGAGTGGGCAGGACTTCGTCTGGATCCAGCACTGCTCCGGGGGCAAAAACATAACCAACAAGTTCACCATTGGCAAGGAAAGCGAAATACAGACCTTGGAGGGGAAGAAGTTCAAGGTGAGAGGCTACTGGCCACACTCTGTTCTTCCCCAGCCTCTGGCCAACTTCTCATCTCAAACACAACCTCCCTGCTCCCCAAGCTGAAGCTTCTTTCTCTGGTTTAGCCTCCAGCATTTGGAGCTGGAGTTACTTGGCAATTTAACACTCCTGGTTTTTAACGGCCACCATCAGCAATGGACACAATACTGATAATAAAAATAGCTAATACTTGCTGAGCACTTAGTATAACCTAGCCACTTGCTGGATAGTTTAGACAACTTAATGAAGTTCATGTTATGAGGTCGCTACCATTAGTCTCCCCATTTTACAGATTGTGGGGGTGAGCTGCGGGATTGAATAGCTTGCCCCATCACACAACAGGGTCAGGCCTTCACATCCAGGCAAAACTGCTTTTTTATGCTGCCTCCCAGTGTAGCAGAGAGATACAGAGCCTGGGCCATGGCATCAGACTCAGCTGGATGTGCAGCCGTGATCTCCTGCTGGCAGCTGTGGGGCCTTGGGCAGTACATCTCACTTTCCTGAGCCTCAGATCTCTAGGATGCCAAATGGGACTAGGTACGGTCCTTAAATCCAAGAGCTGTGGTGAAGATTAAACATGATAACGCATGGAAGCACCTAGCATAGTGCCTGCCCCATAGCAAATGCTAGGGGGAAAAAACTAGTCATTTGTTTTTGTTTTAGAGGCTCAGGGGGGCCAAGTAATGTGCATAAGGCCCTGCAGCCAGAAAGTAGTCAGAGGACAGGGCTTTGAACCGCAGCTGTTTGCCTATGCTGTCGGACTCGTCCGGGTTTGCAATTGCAATCTTGGGTAGCAGAGAAGTGAAAGGCGGCTGTCTGTCCTCATCTATGCAGGCTAGTCCTTCAGACCTTCCACCCACTCTGGATCCCATCTGCAGACCCCAGCCATGACCAGGAGGGTACTTTGCTTTTCAGGTTACCAGGGTGGAGAATAAGTAGTCATAATATTCATATTCTGCCACTTGGTATTTTTATAAAATTTATGTCTTTCTGGATCAGCACATATTGATTGGCCTTATTCTTTTCAGTGGCTACACGGTATTCCAAAGTATGTAAATGCTATAATTTATGAAACTACCCCCTCGGTGATAGATACTTAGATTATTCACTGGTGGATAATCTGGGTTGGATGTTTCGGTTCACTGCTGCAAACAATGCTGCAATCAATAGCCTTGGACATTATATCATCCTAACAGTGATGATCATGACTAACTCTGTAGTTGACACTTACGAGTGCTCTCCACCTGCCAGGCCCTGTTCTAAGCACTTTACATTTATCGTTTAATCCTCCCAACAGCCCTACGAGCTAGGTACTGTTACCTCCATCTTAGAGATGAGGAAACTGAGGCACAGAGAGGTTACGAGACTTACTCGGGTTTATCTATATCTTTTCAAATATGTCACTGCATATCTACATATCATTGCAAATTCCTAGAGGAGGGTGCAGGCTACAGGAGGCCCTTCATCCCTGAGGGACTGGCCCGTGCCAGGGGCCTCCGATGACTCAGGCTCAATGTTCTGCTTCCCTTCCAGGCCAATGTGCAGATGGAGGGTGGGAAGTTGGTGGTGGACTTCCCCAACTATCACCAGACCTCGGAGAATGTGGGGGACAAACTGGTGGAGGTGAGTGTCCTGCTGGTTGCTGGTACCATCGGCCTCTGGGCAGCTGGCTTTCCCAGCACTTCCCGTGTGCCAGGCTCTGTGCTGAGCACTGGGTGCACGTGACCTTATTTGATCTTCACAATGACCCTGTTGGTGGGGAGTTTATCTCCATTTTATTGGGTGAGGAGACTGAGGCACTGGGAAGCTCGGGTACACAGCTTGGATGACAGAGCTGGGATTTGATGCTAGGCAGTGTGATTCCAGTGCCCATGCTCAGCCACCCAAGGGGCACTAGTCTGAAGCCTGTGGGACCCGTCCCAGAATGTAAACAAAGGAGGTGGTCTGGGTGGGCCTCTCAAGGTGCAGCCACCACACCACTCCATCTCCACAAGAGACTTCAGGCCCTTCCTACCAGTTCTTTTGATTTTTTAAGAGAAGCTGGAAATTTGCTCTTTTCTGTTAAATCCCTACACTATGAAATGCTGGCAAGTAATTTAAACAATTTTTAAGTGTGGGCAGGTCCAACACATGTATCCATGGACTGAGCCGTCCCACAGTGGAGGTGCTGCCCTGGGAGGCCTTCGTCCCACTCGTTTCTTCCCCTGGTCTCCAGGATCTCCTCAGGTAGAGGAAATGGATGTGAAGTTAAAGAGAAAAAGATATTTCACACTTCATTCCCCCATTGTGAGACTGTGAGCTGGGCCAGAGCCCCTCTGAAGTCCAGCATAAATCTAGGAGTCCCTCCCTCCTCCCCAAGGCTCTCCAGAAGGGAAGGAAGAGATGAGAGAGGTGGCTTTGCTACCTCCTCTCCTCCCCTTCTTTGAGATCTCTCTCTCTCTCTCGCTCTCTCTCTCTGTCTCTCTCTGTCTCTCTCTCTCTCATTTCCTTGTGCCTCCATCTCAAGCCTGGTTAGAGGAAAGGAGCACACTGCTTCTCTTAGTGAGTTCAGGCTGCTATAAAACTACCACAGACTGAGTGGTTTATACAACAAACATCTATTTCTCACCATTCTGGAGGCTGGAAGTCCAAGATCAGGGTGCCAGCACAGTCAGGGTCTGGTGAGGGCTCTTTTTCTGGTTTCCCCTCATGTGGAGAGAGAGATCATCTCTCTCACATCTCTTCTTCTTCTTCTTTTTTTTTTTTCCTTTTTGTCTTTTTTTTTCGTGACTGGCAACGGATCGCAACCCTCAGTGTCGCGCCCGTACTGGACCGGGACTGGCAACGGGATCGCAACCCTCGGTGTTGCCCCCGCACCTCGCTCAGCCAGTGAGCGGGAACCGGTCCGTATGTGGGATCCGAACCCTTGGCAGGAGCGCTGCCGCGCTTCCTAAGCGGCGCACTGTAGCGGTGCGCCACCGGGCCGGCCCTCACATCTCTTCTTCTAAGGGCACTTCTCCCATCATGAAGGCTCCACCCTCATGACTTAATTACTTTTGAAAGTTCCCATTTCCAAATACCATCACACTGGGGATTAGGGTTTCAGCATAGGAATCTGGGGGGACGCAAACATGCAGTCCCTCACATGGCCCAAGAGACTCAGTGCCCTCCCACTGTTCCCATTTTACAGAGAAGCCTTACAAGGCTCAGGGACAGCATGTGACGTGCCCAAGGCCACACAGCTAGTGTGTGGTAGAGGCAGATCTCATCAGCTGACTCCTAGACTAGGCCCTCTGCCTGTTCCTTCCAGGCCAGTGGGTCTTTTTTCTCCCCTTTATTTTTATTTTCTAAAGAATTTAGGAATAAATAGATGGACAGTGCTGAAAAAAGTATAAAAAGAACAAAAGTGACAATTCCTCATCTCCTGGGTGAAAATTGACCCCTTGGAGGATCTGATGAAAGCTTTGGCCAAGTAACAGTACATGAAACATCAGTGAGTGGGTTCTGACTCCTAGAAGCAAAGTTCCTCCAGCCTGTGCCGCATGCAGAGAGAACACAGGGCAGGAGAACCGGAAGCTTCCCGAGCTGAATAAACCTGTTCCTCAATTCCTAGAGGATCCTGACCCTGGAGCCTGTGTGGTGTGAGCAGTGCCCAGAGTTCAGGATCATCTCACACACGCTCACACACATGCAGGCACACACACATGTATGCATACGTGTGGACACAGGCATGCACACACGCAAGCACAATTGCGTAAGCCCAGGCAGAGAAAAGCTGTCTTGGCTGCAAATCTCCCATTTCTAGAGACCCAGCATCAGCCTGGACATCTCCCTCCTTCTCCACCAAGTAGGGGTGCACTTTGTGAGCATTCCTCCTCTCGCCTCCAGCCATCAGCACCCTGCCTGCTGTCGTCTCCTCCACGCCAGCCCCAGCCTCCTCCCTGCTCACATCCTGCCCGCATCCTCCATTCATCCCACGTGCAAATCACGCATCACTTCACACCGCTGCTCCTTGTTATGAATCAGGCCCAGACTCCTCCACCCCACCCGACCTTCAAAGGTCTGTACTGCCCCATCCTACAGGTACTCTCTGCCCAGCCCTTCTGGACCAGCCACTGATCCTGATCTGGACCCCTCCTCTCCCACTTCACTTTCTTGTGCTCATGTAGCTCCTTCTGCTCTTTCCTTTTCTCCTGTTTGCTTTTCCAAATCCAGCGTATTCTTCAGGATTCTGTGCAATGGCCCATGCCCTCTCTCCTTCCCCAATCAGAGTGGTTCCTTCCCTTCTCTGGGCTTTCTCTCGCACATCTCTCTGTTTGTCACCCACCTCTTCCCATGAGAACGCTGCTTTCCTCTGCTGGGTATCAGATTCATCTGATGACATGTGCACATCCAACGACAGCACCAGTTGATGGCAGGGAGCCCAGGGCCCCTGCACACTGTGTGTTTTCAGAGAGCAGCATCCCTTTGCCTGACTCTCCTGTTAAGCCTCAGGCTTCCCAAGGATAGGGTCTGTACCTTCCCATCACCAAGCACGTGGCAGGTGATCATGAACGCTGTGTGCTGTGGAGATTGAGTGCGGCCTCTCTACATTAGGAGGGTTACTTGATTTCTCCAAACTTCAGTTTTCTGGCCTGTGTAATGGGACAACCTCATAGAGTTGTTGGGAGGACTCTGGAACAAGACAAGGGAAGTGCTTGGCAAGAGAGAACTGGAACGAACAGAGAAGGGAGGTTAGCACGCCCAGGTCCCGTCTCCCCTCACAGCCATATAGCATTGTTACCACACTGAGTCTCAACAGTGATTTTTGGAACAAACTGGGAAACTAAGTCCCAGAGAAGTGGTGTAGCTGACTCCCATCTACTCAGGGATGGAATTGGAGGCTGGTCTCCCTTCAGCTATGACACTGGGGGTCGTGCACTGACTACTTCTGTTCTGGCTGCTTCTTTCAGATAGCTACCATTGGGGACATATCCTGTGAGCGCGTGAGCAAGAGACTGGCCTGAGCCACCAATAAAATACAAACTCACCAATAAACTGATATAGAATAAACAGCTCTTTGTTCTTCTTTTCGGGTGTCTTGGGGCAGCCTCTGGCTGGGTGAGAATGGGAAAGCCCCCAAGGATGGCCACAAGCACCAAATGTTGACCCCGATCCCCCTGTGGGATCTGTGTCATGACAGGAGACAAGGATGTGGACTGCAATGCTCCTGACCCCCGGGAGAGGCCAAAGCATGGTGGGAGCCTCTCCCCTCACTGCCACCCACCACTCTGCGGGTGGAGACACTATGTTGCTTCAAGCCTCCTTTAAAGAGACAAAGTCACTTGGGAGAGGTAACACATTAATTCTCAGATGGGCCATGGGGCAGGTGTATCAGGACTCGGCGTGGGGGAGAGTGGGAGCCACACCTCCAGGAAGGGCCCCGGCTGCCACCTGCAAGGTGGGATGGCTGCACCAGGACTTACCCAGGAAAGCCGCCTCAGCTTGGCCGTGGCTCCGCTGTTACTTGCTGTGGAGTTGTTTCGCTGGACCTTAGCCTACCCACTCGTACAAAGGGGGGCCAGGAGGACCAAAGGGGGCTGGGGGAAATGGTATCTGTGAGATGGCAAAGAAGCAATGAGGGTCATAGGAGGGACCAGGAGGGACTGGGATGTCCTGGTTCAGACGAGTAGGGACTGCTAGGGAGGGTGCATGGGAGGAACGATGAGAGGCTGCAGAAGGCTGGGAAAGGCAATCAGGAGCGTCACTCTGACCCCGGTAGGTGCCGGGAGCCCTCAGTTGAGAAGGATTCTGAGGCAGCATCCCAGTTTAGCAGGTGTCCCAAGTGACTGGAAACTGCCAGCTCAGGGCGTGGGAGTGGAGAAGGGTGGCAGCTTGCCTCCTGACCAGACAACTCCTCACCCGGAGCACTGAAAGGGCCTGTTTTCATCTTCCTGTCTCCTGGGGAGTGCTGACACATCTGGGTACAACCTTGACTTCTTTTTACCCAATATTTTTCTGTATGATAATTCACTTATTTTTACTACGATAGAAACTTTGTCACTTCCATATACGGAAAGCCAATATCATTTGCCATAAGTAGAATAAAACAATTTTAAAAGTCAAAGCTTGACTTCTAGCTAGGTTCTGTTGCCTGCCCAAAGCCCTGAGCCTGAGGCCTCCCTCTGTGAAAAGGTGAGAAAGGTAAAAGACACAATAGTATCAAACGGGAAACTTTCTCCTTGACTAATCAAAATTACTGAAAGACTACTGAAAAGAGAACATACTCACCCTCAGAGTTGAATTTCTAAGGCAGATAATACAAGTCCCACATACGGAAAACAAGAAATAAGGTTGCCCAGCACCTTGCACAGGGTCTGGCACACAGCAGGTGCTTAATAAGTGCTGCCTGACCTCAGGTCCCTTCAGGCCTGTGTCATCTGCAGTCTTTCACTCTTGGGGGCCAGCCTCGGCCTGGACAGATGCTACAGCCCAACTAACTTGCAGCCTTCCCCTTGCCTGCTCCCACCTTTTACTCTGAAACCTTGTTTATCTTTCCAAGAACAGCACACGGCCTCTCTCCCCACCCACCAAGCCAGGACCCCATGAAGTCCATCATTTCGCCAAGACTTATTGCTAATTAAGTGAACTAGGTAAGCATTAAATTAAACTAGCAGTGCTGCTGTTTCCCCTCCAGACTGAGTAATTACTTATAATGAGCTTGGATAATAAGTCTCTAAATAACATAGAGTTGGCCATAATTAGGCTGAAAAGTGAGAGAGAGAGAGAGAGAAGAGGAAGGAAGAGGTGCAGGGGGTGGTGGTGGGGGAAGGGGAAGGAAGGCAGGCGAGAGAGAGTGAGTTAGTTTTAACTCCTGTAATTAATTCAAGGACAAATCCAAATTGTTGGCAGGGGAGAAATCTTTAAGCCAGTGTTGTTATAGCTTCAAGGCTCGTGGAATATGGAATAGCAGAACCTCAGATCTCAATTAGTTTACCCTCTGTATTTCAGAGATACAGAAGATGAGGCTCAGAGAGGGGAAGAAATTCATCCAAGGTCACACAGCACAGTGAGTGAGTCTCTGAGAGTGATGTGTTGCTGGGCTTCACTCGCTGATAAAGGCTGCAGTTTCTGAGTCCAGTTTCAGAGGATAGATGGGTCAAGGTGTGCTAGAGTAAAGCATTCACCTTGCTGGCATCTTGGGAGGGAGACTTCTCAGCCAGAAGAGACAGTGGTTAAGAGCTTCGACTCTGAAGTCACGTTGCCAGGGTTTGAATCCCTGTTCTATCACTTAGTAGCTGTGTCACCTTGGAGTAAGTTCATCCATTTCTTTAATCCTCAGTTTCTTCATTTGTAAATGGGGATAGCAACTGCACTTACCCAATAGAGTTGCTAGAAGCTCACCCAATGTTAGCTGCCACCACCACCACCTCCAACATTCTCAAGTCAGTGTGTTTAAAGGGTTGGGACTGCCTCTGCCACTAACTTGTAAGTCACGTGGGGCAATCACCGGACCTCTCTGAGCCTCGTCTTGTCCATGTATAAAATGGATTGATAAAACCTTCCCTTCCTTGGTCACAGGGGAGTTACAAGGATAAAGGGTAAAAATCCACGCTAATGACTTCCAAAAAGTTAGAGGAACTTCATCATTTTGCTGTGCTGTTGAGGATGCTGTAGCGACTCCCCATTCCACAGACCTCAGAGCAAGTGCCCTCTACCCCAGGCTCTTCATGACATTCACCCTGACTCTTGGGAGTCACCTCTCTCACTCTGCCAGGGCAACCCTTCCCTTTCACCAAGCTCATCTGGTGAACTGGGGAGCTACCCAAAGCATCTTTAAAGACCACCACTAGGAATTAAAAAAAAGAACCAGAGGCTGGGATGGGAGGAGGGTGAGAGGGAGGAGAAGTGGAGGACTAATGGGTACAAAACTATGCTATCTACCCTAAGTGAATCATGGTGCAGCATATGCATGTATCGAGACAACCACACTGTACCCCACAAATATGTCCAAGTTAATGTTAAAACAAGATCACCACTAGGTGGCGCCGCACCACCCACTTGTTGTATCCAGGACTCAGTGTGTGTGTGGTGGGGGGAGCGGTGCAGGCTGTGATAAGGGCAGAAATATGCTGATTGGGCTTCGGTGTGGGTGTGTGTCACCTAGGGGTGACGTGGCATGGGGGGCCACATGGGCTCCTCAGTCAGGCTTATCTAAGTGTAAATTTAGTCCCACCACTCACCCTGGAGAGAACTTGGGCCTCCCTGAACCTCAGTATCCTCATCTGGACAACGATGGTAGCAGTACCAGCTCATGGTGGTGGTGTGAGGACGAAAGGGGGAGGGGAATATGACATCATGAGGAAAGTGCCTAATACAGGGTCTGCAACATGGTAAATGCTCACAGAAGAGCTGTGTGGGGCTCTTCTCGACAGTTCTCCTGGTGAGAATGGGCACACACAAGTTGGGGCTCTTAGAGTGGGAGAAGTGTCCAAGCCTGGCTGTGCATGAGCATCTCCTGGAGGATCTCCCATCCCAGACCTGAGAACCAAGCTCTTTAGGCAGGAAGGCCAGGGAGCTGCCACTGTAACCTGTTCCCAGCTAGGTCTGACCTTAGAGACCAGTCCAGTCCCCACCCTCCCATTTTACAGATGGAAAAACTGAGCCATAGAAAAGAGAAATGACTTGCTCAAGTCCACACAGCTGGGGAGCAGCAGAGGGCCTGACTGCCTGTACAGCCTGCCTGTTGTGTCTCTGGTAAGGGTAGGGGCCTGAGACACCACTCAGCTGGCCCAGGAGAAGCCTGACCACTTGAATTCTTCCTTTAAAACTAGTGCTGGGTTGGAGGGAGGTTAAGTTCAGAGGCTCGCCTGAACCCCCAAAGAAGCGAGGACCCCATTCATTTACAGTATTCCTTGTAGACCTCACTGTTGAATAATACCATATATTCCATGCTTCTTACCATAAGCCTGAAGCGTAGACCAGGCTGATAGCCTTCCCACCTTACAGACGAGGAGACAGATGTTCAGGGTGGAAAGAGAGCTATTCTCAAGGTCATCCAGCTGAGAGCAGACAAACTCAGACCCTCCACCCCTCAGGCCTAGTGTTCTTGTCTACACACCAGAAGTTGCAAGTGTCCAGCCCAAGAAACACTCTAACCTACAAATGTTTTATTGGCTTTCTATTGTGCTAAAATGTTTTAAGTTTCATTCTGAAAATTCGTAAAAATTAGATTTCCTAGAAAGTGCAGATTTCCAGTTTCTCTGGAAACCTAAAGATTTGGCAACCTGGTACTTACATCTCTGAAAGGTAACAATTGGTTGGAGCTGAGTAGAACCATATCCTCTGGAAGGATACCGGCTTTATAACTCAGCACAGTCCGCATCACTTCAGGCTGTCTCGGTCATCCAGCTGGATTCACTCACATGTCACCTGCCTGATCCTGCTGGGCATTTGAACTTGAGACACCTACCAAATGCTATGCTGCCTTTCTGCAGAAATTCATGTGCTGAGAGTCGTTTCTGAGCAACAGTAGGCCTGTTGCTAATGAGGGCTGGCAAGAGTCCTTTCGAAGCACCTGGCACTTTCTAAGCACTTGGAATGCCCAGCAAGGAGGGGGACAGCTCTCTAAGCTGTTCAACCAGCCCAGTGGTGCCCGGAGCTGGTCTGAGAGAACCCCTGCCATTCAGTAAATCAGGAGTGGGAATGCCGGGCAACTCTTTTCTTTTATTCTTTCATGGCAGGGTCTTCCCTACCAGGTGAGCGGGCCGGCCAGCTGGAGCAGCCTGGAGACTCACCCACTCATTCCAAAGCTCTGAGTTAGGCAGTACAGGGCAGCGGGGCATTTCCAGACTGCCTGGGTTTGAACTGTGGCTCTTTCCTTCACTACTGCTGTCCTTAGGCCGATAACCTCTCTGTGCCCTCATTTTCTGATCTGTAAAATACAGCTAATAATAGTTCCTACTCTGTAGGGTTAATAGGATAATAATAAGAAAAAATATAAGCAAGTGCCTGATATAAGTAAGTGCTCAATAAACGCCAGCTGCTATGACTATTGTCACCATCACCAGCAGCCATATTCCATTGGGAGGAGGTGGTTTAGGGCACAGCCATTAAACCAAGTAAACAAATTAATAAGATCACTTCAGATGGTTTTAATACTGTGGAGAAGATAAGCGGGGGTAACAAGAGCGTGACTAGGGTTATTACAGAGAGCTCTTTGGGAGGCAGCAGGTGAACTGAGACCTAAGGCAGGGTTTCTCACCCTCAGCACTACTGTCATTTGAGGCTGGATCGTTCTTTGTCGTGGGGGGCTATCCTGTGCATTGTAGCATGTCAGCAGGATCCTTGACCTCTACCCAGTAGATACCAGGAGCATTATTCCCCCCCAAGTCATGACAACCAAATGTCTCCAAACATTGCCAAATGTCCCCTGGGGGGCAAAAATGACCCCAGTTGAGAGTCAGTGATAAAAAGGGTGAGCAGCCAGTCCCACAAGCAAAACGGGGCAAGGCATTCCAGGTAAGAGGACAAATAGCTTTGGAGATGTGGACTTTGAACCCTGAAGCGCATGAAGAACTGGAACCCTGACCCTAACTCTAATCCAGGCATTTACAATATTAGCCTGGAAAAAAGCAGGTTGTCCTTGGAAAAGGAGTCTGGGTGTCCTCACCCTTCACAAATCTTGGTTTAAGAAATTTTATAGAACAAACAAACAAAAAATACTAAAGATAGAACACAGTGAAGGTTTAGAACTCAGATGGTTCAGAAATTCAGACTGGGATGCGGTTTCCTTACTCTCTCCTTTGAGCTTGGGAACCAGATCCTGTACATTTAATTCTTTGTTGGATCTTAAAAAAAAATCGTGTACCTGAATCACTAGGAAGCTGCTAAAAACGCTGATTTCTGGGCCCTACCCCTCTTGCTCAGTTCTGAGGACCTCTAGATGTCAGCCCTGGGAAGGACTTTAAGGCCATCTCTGTGTTGTTTTATTTTTGGCTGGCCAGTGTGGAGATCCGAACCCTTGACTTTGGTGTTAGCAGCACTGTGCTCTAACCAAGTGGATCCCTCTGGTTGAAGGCATGGGGCTAGGGTCTCTGTGGCTCAGCCTCCCCCTCGAGCTGAAAACCACCCATGAACTCAACTGGTAACAGATGGGAAGCCCAAAGAGGGAGGAATTTGCCCAGAGTGAAGTGGGTGCCCTTGGTAAACCCAAGGCTTTGCCTTGTCTCTGAACCTCAACATCTAGAGGATCCTGCCTCATCAAGCCATGCACACAGCAGATGGTGAGTACTGTCCCTGTCCCCAACTGCCAACAGACACGGTTCCCAAATACTCTCCTGGGTCTGGCCTGCAGCCTCGTGCCCTGAGCACATCTCCCCATCCCTCCCACCCTAAATGAAGGCATTTGTGCTCAGCAAATACCTCTCAGCCCCACTATGACACCAGCTCTCTGGAGTGGTTCTCAGGCTGGAACTTGGTGGGCAGAAGCAGGACAGAGGTCCTGAGTGGGACCCCCTTTCAGCAAAGAGTAGGAATCTCATATTTTCCACAATAGCTGATGTTATATAAGAGTATTCTGTCAATCCTACCTTACACATATTTTAATATTTTAACATTCCCGAAATAAGAATGCAACATATAATCAATGGTATCTTAAGCACTGTGTCATGGCTTAGTTGGCAGGGTTTTTTTTTCTTTTAATTCTTATTGGTACATAAAATAATGGTGCATCTTATGTTTGAAGAAATATTTATCTCTTTTTTGGAAGTACTGGCCTTGATAAGCATTGTTTAATCCTTATGAGAACCCTATGGGGCAAGTGCCATTATCGCCCCATTTAACAGCAGAGAAGGTTGAGGCTCTCAGAGGTTGGGTCAACTGCCTCCCAACAGCTAGTGAGTGGTTGTTACAGTTAATTGTATATGTCAGCTAGGCTACAGTGCCCACTTGTTTGATCAAACACTAGATATTGCTATGCAGGTAATTTTTAGATGTGATTAACATTTACCATGGGTTAACTTTAAGAGAAGCAGATTACCCTCCATAATGTAGGTGGGCCCATCCTATAGTTAAAGACCTTAAGAGCAAAGATGGGAGGAATTTTGCTTCATGCCTGAGTTCCCAGCTTGCCTGCCTGCCCTACAAATTTTGGATTTGCCAGCCCCTACGAGCACATGAGCCAATTCCTTAAAATAAATCTCTCTCTCTCTATCCGATTGGTTTGTTTCTCTGGAGAACCCTGACTGCTGCAGTGCTAGAGCTGGGACATCCGGCCCTGCACATTCCTCTGCTCAGCCTGTGTTCCCTGGAGGCCCAGATCCAACCAGCAGGCAGGACCCAGCTCCAAAGGACCCAGTCTTGCTGCTGCTAACCCCCAATAACCCCCACCTCCCCAACATGAGGAGACACCCACAGTGGCTGATCTGGGAGGGAAAGCCAAGGAAGAGAACCCAGAGACCAAGAGCAGGTGATGTGTTTATTGCGGGATGCCTTTTTCTCAGGGCTGGGCTGGTGGTGAGGCTCTACTGAGGGGGTGGCCTATGAGGCCCCAGCCCCAGAATAGACAGATACAATAATTTGTAATACAAGCCAGTCGCACATAAATAGAAGGAAGTTGGTAAAGGAAAAAGAGAAAAACAAACAAACATGGAGTTTCCTGTGCAGACAGAGTGGCAGTGCTTTATCCATATCCAGTCTCTCTTCTTCTTCTGTGTCCACGTGGAGACTTTCATCTGCTCTGAAAAGCTTCATCTCCCCCGCATCCAACTCAGCAGCATGCAGCCATAGCTTCCTAGACTGCAAATGAGTCCAGAAAACCAAGATGGGTTCTTCTTAAAAAACAAACAAAAACTGCTTCTGTGGTCCTCTGCACCTCCCCTTTCTGATGGGTAAACAGTGTGTCCCCCAACCCTCAACCAACCAAAAGCACATGCTGAGCACAAGCTGCGAGTCAGAATAAAAACATATTGCACACGGTGACAAGAGTCTTCCTGAGGTCCCTCTCGCTGCAGATCCCCAAATACTGGCTTTCATTCAACCAAAAGCTTGCCTACTGATGGTGTCATGTACCCACGTACCTCCCCACTCTCCAAATCTGGGCGGCATTAAGCAAATATTCCACATTATTATCCTTTGCCATTAGCCAAACTCAAAGCTGAGACTGGGTTTAACCTCATGCACACTAAGCATGTGTTGGGGGGTGGAGGGGATTGTCTGTTTCAAACCTTTGTCTTCCTTTCAACGATCTCCCCCCCCCCCCCCCGCCCCCGGTGATTACCTAAGTATTACAGGTGAACACAACATCCAAGACATGGAATCTTCTGGAATCAAAAGCCTAGAAAGTGGCTCTCCCTAACCACATGCTTTTTTTTTTTTTCCTTTTTGTCTTTTTTACTGACCAGCAACGGGATCGCAACCCGCGGTGTCGCGCCCGCACCGTGCTCAGCCAGTGAGCGGGAACCGGTCTCCACATGGGATCCGAACCCTCAGCGGGAGGGCCGCCGCACTCCCAAGCGATGCACTCTCCAGTGTGCCACCGGGCCGGCCCCTAACCACACGCTTTTGAAAAGGGAGCTCTGTTATTACCCGTGGGTCCATCCAAGTTGGGTTAAAACATACAGCCACCACGTGGGACAGGCAGTGTGGCAATTAAATTTTTTTTTTTTCTAAGGAGTTTTCAAGTATCACAAAATCCCTGATACGGTATGTAAACAAGACACCTTACTGAACAGAAAGCTAGATCACTTCTCGAAGCAGCAGCACGTGAAATATCTAAAAGACCGAGAACGGTTTTAGGTTCACTAACGAAGGCAAGACAGCCGCCCACTGTGCCTCAAGGCAGGCTCAGGCATAAACACACACACAGGCCCTCTGTATGGAGCAGGGAAAGAAAAGCACCCGATACGGCATCTTCTGGGCGTCCTGAAAACACGCCAGGCTGCCCTTTCTCTTTCAGTGGTGTAGCTGCCATCGGCAAAAAGGAAAGAAGTCTTTGATGCTAAAAACCGGACATGCTTGTGGATGACGGGTCTGAGTCCAGTCCTCAGTCTCCTGGACTCTTACCAAGTCTTTCTTGATTCGCTGGGTCCCTGCTTGAGGGAGGGCCACTGAGCCATCCCTTTATATACCCAGCCACATGCAGAAAACGTTTTTCAGAGGAATGCTCTCAGGTGAGGTATGTCATTGAAAGTTTTGCTCTGGGTCACTTTTATTTAAGAAGAGCATGAACCCTCTATGTTCAAGGGCAACGAGGCTCTTTGGGGATGGCCTCCCAGTTGCTTCTCTTGGCCGAGCTCCCCTCTTCAATGTCCTCTTCCTCTGCAGGGTCTCCAAGGCTTCCCCAAGTGGCCCAAAGGTGGCCTATCTGTCAAAACAGCTTGTGGGGAACATGTGGGTACCACTGAAGTAGCTGCTTCCATAGGTGGTGGCCAGGCAGTGCCTGGGCTCAGCTGCAATGGCCATCTGCATGCTAAGGGACGCAGGGATGGGCACAGGACACATGTCCAAGGTCTGGAGAGTAGGGTACGGGGAGTGGAGGGATGAGCCCGTGCCCCCTGAGAGCAGGCTCCCCGAGCGGTGGACCTGCAGAGAGTCCCGATAGGCCAAACATAGGTCCTGCACAGGGGTCTGGAACTGGGCCAGGGTTGTCGTTGGCTGGCTGAGGCTGGGGTAGGTGGGTGGCTGAAACAGCACTTGGGTGGGGGCTGGGGGCGTCCCGGGCACCATCGCCAAGGCCTGGCTCTTGACTGTGACAGCGTCCTTGAGGACATTGTCATATGCTCTGAAAGGAAAAGACCTGGGTGAGACTTGGAGGTCAAAGGCCACCAGACACCTATGCGCACTTCTACCTGCCTCGCTAAGTGGGGTCCAGACAGATGCACGTGCTCTGTCACTGCTGGGCCTTGCCAGTCTGCAGCATGGTCCCAGCAGTTCACCGACTAGACTCGGGCCTCAGATCTTAGCTTGGGTCTGCTTCCTTTTCTTCTGAATTCTCAAGACAAGGCTGGCTGTCTCTGCAGCCCCTGCAGTGCCCATTCTCGGCTGTCAACATCCACATGATTATTTCTGATTACTGCCTGGCTGCAGGGAGGATCCCATCTGCTCCTGCTAACCACTGTCCTCCCAGCACCTGGCACTGTGATTGCTCCTGGTGCCTGATGAGCACAATCTGTGCCTTCCTTCCAGGCACTGCTGGGCCAGCTCTATCCCCAGCTGAGTCACTCCTTAGCTAGCAAATACCAGGCAAATTTTGTCCCTGGGGTCTAGTTTTCTCCATCTCAAAGGGACAGTAGAACAGTGTTTTTTGCCATCTCTAAAAAAGCTTCCCATAAAGCTTTTTGGGAAAACAAAACAATTAGAGGCTTACGTAAGAGAGGGAGAGTGGAGGGTACACCAGATCTGAGGAGACATCTCAGAGCGACAGCCATCGGTGGCAGGGGGGGCCGGGAGGTGGGGACACCCACAGCACTCAGACCAGGCCATGTTCTCTGGCTCTGGGGACCTTCTAAAAAGCACACATTTTAAAACAAGGCCTAGGGAGCAGGGCTGAGATCTCAGAGGACTAAGACAAAGGCAGCCACCAGCCAAGCTTCCAACACCAGGAAGCAGAGAGGGGGCTCTGCAGGGACCTACGTGCTTTGGCTTTGACCACCCTTGTTCCACTGGTCACTCAAGCCAGCATCCAGGATGTGCTGCCACCTGTCGGGTAGGAGAAGAACTGGACCAGGTGTAGCCACGGAGGTGCTGTCCTGTCCCATCTGCCTTCCTCCCTGCAGTCACTATGAAGCTCTATTGCCTCCAACACCCAGTTTTCTGGTGTTGAGTCCATGATGCCTTGAAGCATCTTCTCTGATAGACCAAGTGCTTTCTCCCCATGATTCCCAGATCCTTGTAAGGAGGCTTTGGCCTCTTATGTGAAGCCACCTGGGCTTAGCTGGCTTAGGGGTTAGCTTTGTGGTCACATCTGAGAAAAGTAGCTTATAATTAGAGTCCCTCAATGTGATTATCCATAAGACCACACGGGAACTAAGATCAAAGAGCCCAGATATTTGCAAGGAGGTGCACACAGCATCTCCTCTCCCTTGTTTCCTGACCTTAAAAATGCAAACCCAGGGTGGGCCCATGGCTCACTTGGGAGAGTGTGGTGCTGATAACACCAAGGCCATGGGTTCGGATCCACATATAGGGATGGCCGGTTGGCTCACTTGGAGAACGTGGTGCTGGCAACACCCAGTCAAGGATTAAGATCTCCTTACCAGTCATCCTTCAAAAAAAAAAAAAATGCAAACCCAAAGCTACCACAAATAGGAAGAGCTGACTCCCCAAACCCCACTTCTATCAGGAGTCCCCATGGCCCACTTTACACGAGACACTACAACACCCAGATGCAGGAAATCACCCGTGATCCGAGGTTGGCCTCCAGGGCAAGTAGAACCTCAATATTTCAGAAACAGAATTCAGAAGAACTTACACCAGCAGGATTTCGATACATGTGCTGAGATGCTCCAGGGAGTAGTTTGAGATCCTCTGTAGGTCTCTGGTCCAGTAGGGAGAAAGCTGCAGGCAAATCCTGGAGGCCCCAATACAGGCTGCAGCAACCACGGAAGGCTGGAATTTGTAGAATACATGATCTGAAAGACAGTCACAGAGGGAGTTGGCATCAAAGAGCCTCCCTGTGGAGTCCCATGCCTGCCCTGAGAACTGGTGCACAAATGAATCGATTCAAAGGCTGTGAATTGCTGCCCTAACATTAGGATGAAAAATTAGAAATGGTGAAGTTCCAAAAATGAATCTTAGACACCTTGGCTCTTAGACTGAGATTTCTGATATCAGCCTAGATCAGTGATTTTCAGATTATTGTCCATGGTTCCCAGGAGGCTGCAAGAGGCTTGCTGATGGGCTAAAAACAGAACCACAAAACATTTGTCGTTTCTTTGGCTATTAGGGATGAATGACATACCATTTCAAAGGCTTCTGTTTTAGGGTATGACCAAAGGCTACTTATTAATTGTAATAACGCCTGGCCCACTCAATGGACAATCAATGAAAACCTGTTGAATGAATGAATGGCTACAAGAGTTTGATATTCATCACTAAAATGGGCACTTTATTTAGGTTTAGTGAGAAATCTTAATGTCCTACTAAGATACCTGGCAACATGGCAAAGCTGGTACTATTTATGTGCAAAGGCAAATAGCTGAAATTCCCAGTTTTCATGAATGACACTTGGTTTTCAGTGCATTATGATGTTGTCTTAATTGTTCATGATTTTCAATTACGGCAACATGGCAAAGCTGGTACTATTTATGTGCAAAGGCAAATAGCTGAAATTCCCAGTTTTTGTGAATGACACTTGGTTTTCAGTGCATTATGATGTTGTCTTAATTGTTCATGATTTTCAATTACGAAATTCAACTCTTGCCTTTTAAAGTAAAGTCATCCCTTCGAATCTGTGGGGGATTGGTTTCAGGACGCATCATGGATGCTGAAGTTCCTTATATAAAATGGCATAGTATTTGCACATAACCTATGAACATCCTCCATATACTTTAAATCATGTCTAGGCTACTTACAATATCTAATAAATGTAGATAGCTGTTATACTGTGTTGTTTTTTATTTGTATTATTTTTTATTATTGTACTGTTATTTTATTTTATTTTTCTGAATATTTTTGATCCGAGGTTGGGTGAATTTGCAGTTGGTTGAATTTGCGGTTGGTTGAATTCACGAATACGGAAATCACAGATAAGGAATCCATGGATACGGAGGACTGACTGTATCAATCAGTCAGAGTGGCATTATGGTTACAGGCACAGTCATGGAATCATAATCCCCAGGTCAAATCCTAGCAATGACCATGGGTAAGTTATTTCACCTCTTGAGCATCAATTTTCTCATAGGTAAAAAGGGAATAATTGAAATGATTTTTGTGTGGGTCGTCGTGAGGTTCAAATGAGATAATGTATGAAAAGCAAGATGCCTGGCACACATCGAGTGCTCAGTTAATGTTTGATGTCACAGTCATCGATGTTGCTACTCATGACCATTTGGCTTGTGATGGGTTATCGGGTGTTTGTACCAGCAGTACTTCCGACCTACTTTTTTACCTAACACAGAAATTTTAAGACACTGGGAAGAGCGGGTTTCAAGTAAGAGTCCCCAAACAGGGTAACTTTTATTGCTGAAGCAGATGTAAACTTAACTCCCTGCCCCCATCCTATCTGTATGATGACAGATCTTCAGGAATGACCTGCCTGCGAATCTGTGCTATTTAAATCATTTATGATGTTCCAGGTTACTGTAAGAAAAATTACCAGGTGATCTGTAAGTTTGTAGGGTACTTGCTGTATATAAGCTGCTGTTTCTCTTTTACATGTTATTAGTAACACAGTGGGCGAATCCTTGCCCCTGCTTTGCTTATCATCTGCAAAGTGGGAGTGATTTGGTGCGTGGGTCCCAGTTAACAGAGAGGGTCCTCTCTGGATGGACATGCCCCTCAGAGCCACCTGATCCCAGCCCCTGTGTGGTGGGGAAGGGGCGAGAGGTCCTGACATCAGGCTGCAGCCATCTCTGCTACCCTCACCTTGCAGGGTGACCTCTAGGAAGTAATGGGCATACTCCTTGAGACACTCTTTGGTCTTGCGGGGGCAGGTGGTGGGCCAGGTGTGGCAGTGGTGGTCCTTCTGGCTGACGGAGGCCAAGAGGTAGTAGTCCAGGAAGTGGGCGGGTGTGGGCAGGCAGAGATTCCAGCTGAAGGACTCCAGGAGCAGCAGCTCCGTGTTCAGAAGTTCCTTCTTGGTGAGGGTGAAGTTCTGGCTGCTCAGGATCCTTGTGCTGTTTATCTGCTCCAACTTGGGTACATGGTCTTCCCTATCCTCGAACTTACCTATGGGAAGGAAGGGAAGCAGAGGAAGACACTTGTCTGCACCCAGGAAGCTAAAAGCCAACCTTACAGATCCTGGACAGTGCTGGCAGAGAGAACAGAAAGCAGAAAGGCTGGAATGCAGGGGGAAAAGAGCACACATTCCTCATCTGTCAAAGCTGTGCTCACATCCCCAAGCCATCACTTCCAGCTGTGTGAGCATGGCCAGCTGTCTCAACCTCTCTGTGGCTCAGCTTCCTCATCTGTAAAACGGAACGTGTCTTTCATAAGGCTCTTGTTAGATTCAATCAGAAACTGCACACCAAAGGCTCAGACCAGCATCTGGAACACAGGTGGTGCTGGATGGCAGTCAGCAAGAGAGTCAGGATCTGGGTAACAAGATCCCTCCACCTCCATCTGGCTCTCCCCACCCAACCTCCAGGCCATGTCACAATGACTGTGCAAATCTGACCCTGTCACTGCAGATGTGGAAAACCCTTCAATGACTCCCCACTATCCTCAGTATTGAGTTCAAACCCTATAAATGGGGGTCTTAGTCTGGCTTCCCTGAGAAACAGTTTGCTTGGATGGTGAGTTCAGGAAAGATAAGTAAATAGGGAAAGAAAACAGGAAAGGGAAGAAAGCCCAAAGGGCACATGGGAAATCAGAATTATGGACAACTGGAACTGAATCCTACTGAGGAATTTTGAGAAACAATATAAAACACAGGCCTTGCGGTACCCCACCCAAGGGTCAAGGAACAGAGGCACTGACATGTCAGCCCCTGGAAGTCATCAGTGTGGACTGCTCCCAGGGGACAAAGGGGGTTCCTAATGTACTGGGAGTCAAGGTCCAGGGGCTGTGGGGGTTCATGACAGCCTCCACTGTATGAGGCTCTGCAAGGTGGGAGCCTCTTCAGTTTCAATGCTCTTCTCTCTGGGGGAACCCACCCTACATCTGTTGTTGGCCCCCATCACTGGCAGTTTTTTGGAAGCACTATGCTCTCCCTTCCTACAAGCCTTCGTCTACACAGCCACCTGCCTGGAACACCCTTCCCCATCCCCTCTTCATAGCCAAACTTGACGTGACCTTCACCTTCCCTGACCATCCCACCCTACATCTGTTGTTGGCCCCCATCACTGGCAGTTTTTTGGAAGCACTATGCTCTCCTTTCCTACAAGCCTTCGTCTACACAGCCACCTGCCCGGAACACCCTTCCCCATCCCCTCTTCATAGCCAAACTTGACGTGACCTTCACCTTCCCTGACCATAGTCCCCATGCAGTAGTGCACGGCTCCCATATCAGGTGGCAAGCCCCTCAGGGGCCTGGCCTCAGTCTGGTCACCTGTGGCCTCCAAGCCCAGCCTCACGGGCACGGAGCTGCTGCTGAGCAAAGGTCAGAAGAGGCAGTGGGGCAGCCCGGCCGACCTCAAAGCATGCATTGGTGCCAATGACGGGAACGACAAACACAGCGTTCACACACCTGCTCACACCTGCAGTGCCTCTGCCTGGTTCTCATCAGCCTCTCGAGCTTTTTAGGAGAGATGAGGAAATAAGCAGCACAGGCTGCTCTCCAGTGGATACAACACATTCCGGAGCAAGGCCTCCAAAGATGTCACTGCAAAATGAAACACCGAATCTGGGCAGGCTAGGGTCTCTGTCTTCTCAGTGAGCCCGGCTGCAGCCCAGTAAGACAGCATGACAGGAAGCTCTGGTCTTGGATGGGGAGGAGTTGAGCTGGTGGAAGTGAACACAGTGCAGGGTGGAGACGCCTGCCAACCATGTCCTAAACTGCTTATAGAGCCCTCCACCTCCTTCCAGAGCACAATCTGTCAGCCTAAAATGGTGCTGCCTCCAAAGTACACACCTCTTGTCTTGCGCACATGGGCAACTCCAGCAGGTGAACACAAGGTCACAGCTGCCCAAGGGGAAAGAGCCTTTTGTATGGCTGGAAATACTGGGGGTGAGGCCCGCTGGCCTGTGCAGACTTACGCTCCACTCCCACCCCAGCACAGGATCCAGCCAGAAGAAATACTGACCCTTCCCCACCTTATCTTGTGTCCTTAGTTCAGAGCCACTAGACATCATCAAGGCACTTTTCATACTCAGATTACTTGTTTAATATCAAGTATTACTATGAATGGCTGGCACCTGATTTGAAGCCCCATGATGACAGGAACCAGGTCCGAACCGTTCTCTGCTGTGCCACCAGTTCCCAGCACAGTGCCTGGCACATGGTAGGCACCCAATGAATATCTGTTTAATGAATGAATTAATTAATTCTACTATCTCTGGATAGTAGAATTTTAGGCCATTTGGATTTTTTTCTGATAATCTTGTATTCCCTAATTTTTCTCCAATGATCAGGTATTCTTCGTGCAATGTAAAAAGGAAGAAAAAAAATATATATATATATAGTGTGTGTGTGTATGCAAAGTTGCCCAGGTTTCCCTGAACCTTGTGCTGAACCGAGCCAACCTTGTGGTATGCACTCAGTAGATACGAGCTCTCCTATCTTCCCTGGAGCAGAAGGTGACACGGTGAAAGACACAGCCCCTGCAGAGACATGCACCGTACTGGGGGTGGTACTAAGACCCTTGCAGGGCATTGCTGGCAGCCAGCAATCAATTACCACCCGCAGATGTTCTCCAGCAGATTAGTTTCCTCCTCCCCTCCCTGCTTTTCAAATCTTTCACAGCTCTGCTACCAGACCCGAGGGAATTATCCTCCAACAGAAGGGGCCTCGCATTACTGAGGAATCAGACCTCACCTGCCCCCACTGTTCTCCACACTGGGGAAGCCTCCTGGGGGCCCACCACATTGCAGGCCAGAACCAGGAGGAGCCGCATCTGAATCCTCTGGATTCAGTTTGCTCTGGGCCGAACAGTACGAGAGACTCCACAGGCTGTCTATTTGTTTACGACCTAGGAATGTGCCCTCTGGGAAGATGCAANGAGACTCCACAGGCTGTCTATTTGTTTACGACCTAGGAATGTGCCCTCTGGGAAGATGCAAAGGTCATGCAGAAAGGAAAAAGCTTCGCAAGTGCCCAGCACACAGAAATGGGCTGTGCTTCATGCTGGCCAAAAACCAGAGCCTCACTGCATTCTTTCCAGGCTGGTTCCTAAAGGATCCCCAGAGGCTCAGAGACAAAGCTAATCAGAGGACTCAGCTTCTACACGCATAAAGGACTTGGGAGCCCTGCTCTTGACTGCTAGTCAGGCTGACCCCAGCGGAACGACTATTCTACAGCACAATACATTTCACAGCCAGAAAAGATTTTATGAGTTTCCTGGTGTTGCACATGCCCGGCAGACATTTCCTCCCTTCCTCCCGTGACTGTGAGCAGGCCAGCCCCTTGTCCTTAATGCTGCCACCACCAAGCACCGTTACTCAGCTGCTTCCTCCTTATCGACAAACTGCACAGATAACAGATGCCTGGAAGTCTCCAGGAGGGTCTCCTGGGAGAGGCTGGGGACAGAAGTATGAGTCCTTCCATGTCAGACAATAGCCACAGACTCTCCTCGACTCCTTTGACACACTTTTTATTTTGAAAATTTTCAAGTCCACACACACACAAAAGAATGGAACAATAAACACACACGACCCTTCTCCCAGATTCACCAGTTGCTGACGCTGAGCCGCATCTGCTGTCTGCGTGCACGTTATGTATACAGTAGTCCCCCTTATCAGTAGTTTCACTTTCTACAGTTTCAGTTACCTGTGGCCCCAAAATAGGTGAGTACAGTACAATAAGATATTTTGAGAAAGAGAGAGACCACATTCACATAACTTTTATTATAGCATATTGTTATAACTGTTCTATTTCATTATTAGTTATTATTGCTAATTTCTTCCTGTGCCTAATTTAGAAGAAATTAAACTTTATCACAGGTATGTAGCATAGGAAAAAAACAGCATGTATAGGGTCCTGTACTATATGAGGTTTCAGACATCCACTGGGGGACCTAGAACTTATCTCCCGTGGATAAGGCGGGACTACTGTATTGGTTTTGCTGGACCAATTCTAGTGAAGTTGCAGAGTGCCATGCCAGCCCCGAACTCTTCAGCATCTATTCCTGATGTCATTTTCCTACAAATCATAATGCTACTAGCAATTCTAAGACATTAATGCGATAACATTTTCTAATATTCAGTCCATAGTTGACTTTCTCCGGGGGTCCCAAAAATGCCTTTTATAACCTTCATTATTTTTGGATCTAGGATCCAAACCAGGTTCACACACAGAGCCTATCTCTTACTCCCGTTTTTTGGTTTGTTTCTCATGACATTGACTTTACAGAAGACTCCAGGCCAGTTGTCTTGGAACATGTCCCACATTCTGGATTTGCCTGATTGTTTCCTCATGATTAGATACAGGTCAAATGATTTGGGCAAGAGAACAACAGGGTGATGTTCTGTTCTTCCTTCCAGATCACATCAGGAGTAGCATACAACATCAGTTTCTCCCAGCAGCAGTGATGCTGTTTGATTGCTTGATCAAGGTGCTGACACCAGAACTCTCCATTTTAAAGGTACTACTTTCCCTATGAAATGAATAAGTCATCTGTGAGGTGATACCTTGAGACTGTGAATATCCTGTTTCTCAACAACCTTAACTCAATGGCTTGGCGCCCATCAATGGTCCTTTCTGAATAAATTATTACATGGGGGGTTGAAAAAGTTCAAAAATCCTATCATTCCATCTACATTTTTCTTTTTTGATATTCACATTGTCCCAAATTTGAACAGCAGGAGCTCTATCAACATACTTCCAAGGTGAAAAAACATGCTAAACTTCTTGAAGAACTTACTCTGACTCTCGAAGGCCAGGCACACGCTGTGTGCCTGCAGTGTTGGTGGGATGGTGCAGCCTGTAAGTAACACCTCTTAGAAGCCCTTTACATGCCTGGCTGGCTGGTTCCTAACCCCACTCCCGGGGTTGGTGCAAGTCACAGTTAGTGGACTGATGACCATGAGTCCAGCCAAGTGGCCTAAACTCTTAAGCACAGGCTAGGCCGCAA